GTCTGTAGCTGTTAGCGTCTGTAGTTGTTAGCGTCTGTAGTTGTCAGCGTCTGTAGTTTTCAGCGTCTGTATTTGTTAGCGTCTGTAGTTGTTAGCGTCTGTAGTTGTTAGTGTCTGTAGTTGTCAGCGTCTGTAGTTGTCAGCGTCTGTAGTTGTTAGTGTCTGTAGTTGTTAGTGTCTGTAGTTGTTAATGTCTGTAACTGTTAGCGTCTGTAGTTGTTAGAGTCTGTAGTTGTTAGCGTCTCTAGTTGTTAGCGTCTGTTGTTGTTAGCGTCTGTAGTTGTTAGCGTCTGTAGTTGTTAACGTCTGTATTTGTTAGCATCTGTAGTTGTTAGCGTCTGTAGTTGTTAGCGTCTGTAGTTGTTAACGTCTGTAGTTGTTAGCGTCTGTAGTTGTTAACGTCTGTAGTTGTTAGCGTCTGTAGTTGTCAGCATCTGTAGGTGTCAGCGTCTGTAGTTTTTAGCGTCTGTAGTTTTTAGCGTCTGTAGTTGTTAGCGTCTGTAGCTGTTAGCGTCTTTAGTTGTTAGCGTCTGTAGTTTGTATCTGTAGCTGTTAACATCTGTAGCTATTAGTATCTGTAGCTGTTAACATCTGTAGCTGTTAACATCTGTAGCTGTTAGTGTCTGTGGTTGTTAGCATCTGTAGCTATTAGAATCTGTAGCTGATAACATCTGTAGCTATTAGTATCTGTAGCTATTAGTATCTGTAGCTGTTAACATCTGTAGCTGTTAGCGTCTGTAGTTGTTATTATCTGTAGCTGTTAACATCTGTAGCTATTAGTATCTGTAGCTGTTAACATCAGTAGCTGTTAGCGTCTGTAGTTGTTAGCGTCTGTAGCTATTAGTTTCTGTAGCTGTTAACATCTGTAGGTGTTAGTGTCTGTAATTGTTAGTATCTGTAGCTGCTAACACCTGTAGCTATTGGTATCTGTAGCTGTTAGCGTCTGTAGTTGTTAGTATCTGTAGCTGTTAAAATCTGTAGCTATTAGTATCTTTAGCTGTTAGTATCTTTAGCTGTTAACATTTGTAGCCGTTAGTATCTGTAGCTGTTAACATCTATAGTTGTTAGCGTCTGTAGTTGTTAGCATCTGTAGCTGTTAGCATGTGTAGCTGTTAGCATGTGTAACTGTTAGTGTCTGTAACTGTTAGCCTGTGCAGCTGTTAGCATGCGTAGCTGTTAGCCTTTGTAGCTGTTAGCATCTGTAGCTGTTAACATCTGTAGTTGTTAGCATCCGTAGTTGTTAGCATATGTAGCTCTTAGCATGTGTAGCTGTTAGCCTTTGTAGTTGTTATCATCTGTAGCTGTTAGCGTCTGTTGTTGTTAGGATCTGTAGCTGTTAGCATGTGTAGCTGTTAGTGTCTGTAGCTGTTAGCATGTGTAGTTGTTAGTGTCTGTAGCTGTTAGCCTGTGCAGCTGTTAGCATGTTGAGCTGTTAGCATGTGTAGCTGTTGGCATCTGTAGCTGTTAGCATCTGTAGCTGTTAGCATGTGTAGCTGTTAGCATGTGTAGCTGTTAGCATGTGTAGCTGTTAGCATCTGTAGCTGTTAGCATCTGTAGCTGTTAGCATCTGTAGTTGTTAACATGTGTAGCTGTTAACATGTGTAGCTGTTAGCATGTGTAGCTGTTAGCATGTGTAGCTGTTAGCATGTGTAGCTGTTAGCATGTATAGCTGTTAGCATCTGTAGTTGTTAGCGTCTGTATCTGTTAGCATGTCTAGGTGTTAGCAGCCACGTGTCGTCGCGTGCTTGGATAATCTAGTCTCGTGACTGTGTCTCTATTTTTCTGTGTAGGAGCAGGAGCTTCACGTCAGACCTCCACCAACCACATGTTTGTTCTCTAACAGGTACGGTTGTAATTTCTAGTAAAGTTGTTCAATATTAAACTTCGTTCCAGCAGCCTCCACTTCAAAAAGTCAGCACTCACGCGGTTTGGTTGTGCACGCGCTAACACCACCAGGGAGTCACGCTTGTGAGGTTCTTTCAAAATAAAAGCTGATGTGTGTCTCCTGTTGGTCCAAACTCTGGACATAAAACACGTTAGCACTGGAAGCTGTAACGGGACCAACATTCCTGCTCAGCTGTTTCCACAAAAAGTTTCAATCTCGCCCCCATATCCAAAGAGTAGAGAACTTTTTGTGTTTAAATTAAATAAATAAAAAAACCAATGAGTTTTTCATGTTTTGACTCGAGTTGATTGAAGTCATTCTTGCTGGTCCATGTTCAGAAATGATTTTTAATGTCCGCCTGTGAATATGATCCATAATATTTGACTTTAGTCTCTGTTTTGTGGTTATTTGTATGTTCGTGATGTGAGAATGTTCAATTGTTTTCCCTGAAGTTTCCATTAATATTAAAACAAAACTCTTAGTTTCCAGTGACCAGTCTCACTTCAGGCTGACTGTAGAACATCTCCAGATGTTGCTCACCAGATGTCACCAAGATCTCATGTGGAATTTCAAAATAAAGGCCCTGCAAAGTTGGACATTTTCCATAGAATTGTCCCTAAGTTTCTGTGTTTGTTGCTCGTTCTTCAGGATGTTGTAGAAACAGCGAGGGTAAGTACGGCTTTACCAGAAATCACATCATTAGTGCAGAAAATTTATTGTCTCGTTGAAATGCAACATAGTTCAAGTAAAAACAGGAATGTTTCATTTAAAATCATTTATATGTTTAATATTTTAAGTGACAATAACCATTTGGAAAAATAAAGTTCAGATTGTACATTAATGTCAGAAATGACATTTATATCATTTTAACATCAAGTGTTTGTTTTTCCTGGTAAATGTTGAGAATTACAAGAGCTTTGTGTTATTTGTCCATGTCGACCAAAATCACTGGAGGTTTCTGGTTAGTGTGCATAAAAATGATACTTGTTGTTCTCTCAGAACATTTTAATTTAAAGTTTCATGTTTTGATTTGTGCAGAAACTCTGTGAACCACACAGTCTTTCTGGTGGATCAAGTTCAGCAGAAGACGATTCAAAAGCTGCAAAAACATTTAGGTAAGTATTTATTAAGAGACAGAGGAGAAAAGTCTAACACTGAATTATATCTGGTGAGCTGCTTTTAAAATGATTTTAGTTGCTGTTATGGCCATGAAGGACAGAGTGCAC